GATAGATAGATAGATAGATAGATAGATAGATAGATAGATAGATAGATAGAGATATAGATGTATAGCTGAATACCATATATATGTGTGTATATATATGTGTGTGCATATATATATGTGTGTGTGTGTATACATGTATGTGTGTATATACATTCCATTCCATTCTATTCTTCATTCCAGTATCTCATCTAATCTATTCTATTCTTATCCCTTATTCTATTCTATTCTATTCTATTCTATTCTATTCTATGCTACACTACACTATACTACACTATTATATTATATTATTCTATTTATACAGATATATATCTATATCTATCTATCTATCTATCTATCTATCTATCTATCTATCTATCTATCTATCATCTATCTATCTATCCATCTATCTATCTGTGTGTGTATGTATATATTTTCTTTTGAGAGCATGCATCAGAATTTCATTTTTTTTAATATGTTCCAGTCAGCGTGCAGCACAGGAAGAGTGACAATAAATGTTATCTTATTTATGTAATTATTTAAATTATTTATGCAGCTGTCCATTTCCTTTACCTTTGTTTGGGTTTGTCTGTTTGTTCTTTCTTATTATGCACAAGTTATTTCTTCTTCCCCAAAGCATTTCTGACTCCACCGTCCTATGCTAAACATTGGGATCTCTCTGCCACTTTCCAAAGCATCTCACAAGGACCTTCTGGCATAGCATATTGTGATATCTTCTCTTCTGTTTCAGGATATGAAGATGGAGCCTATTCCCGCAAAGGCTTATGGGAGTTTCTTTGAAGGAGACTGCTACATCATATTAAATGTAAGATATGGTCAAGAAAGAATAACTGATTCACAGGTAGTCATCCAGTTACGAATGTAATGGAGCCTGCCAGTACATTCGTAACCTGAGGATTAATTAAATGAATGAGCCCTATCCCTCCTTTCTCCAGTGCATTCGTTAATCGAATGTGCAAATTGTTAAGAGTGCATGGGTATCTCTGGAGTGGGAAGGACTATTCAAATTTTTTTACTACTGGTTCTGTGGGTGTGGCTTGGTGGGCATGGCAGAGGAAGGATATACTGCAAAATCCCCACCCCACTAACCTGCTTTCCAGCTCCATTCTCCTGTGCAGGGCGACCAAAGAAGACCCAGCCAAACAGCTGGAACTCGATGGGAGGCGGAGAATAGATGGGGACGGGGTCACCCAGAGGTGGTATTGGTCGGTTCTCCGAACTATTCAAAATTTCTGCTACCGGTTCTCCAGAACTGGTCAGAACCGGCTGAATACCCACCTCTGATAGGAGGCCTAGTTCAGGGGACAAGACCACTGTATCCGGCCAGCAAAGGCCTCTCCCCACCCATTGTGAAATCATCTTCCCTATCTCTTGGGGGTCCCAAATTGCTTGAGCCTTTCCTCTTCATTCCCATCACCCTTTGGTGCCAGGGTTGAGAGTCCCACGCTTCTCACGCTCTTCTCCTGCATGGCCTTGGGTGCTAGAACCAAGAATGGGTGTGAGATTCCACCAGAAATATAATTAAACATTACTCTTCTATACAACTTCCTAATCTCTCGTGCTGGCTTTAGGATTATTCTACCATGGTTTTAAAAATGAACCTTACCCAAAGGTGCTTTTTCAAAAGGCAACTGGACTTGGCTTTTCTCTTAAGACATTTCGCTTCCGATGCAAGAAGCTTCTTCAACTCTGACTGGATGGTAGGGAATGGAAGGATTTATACTCCTTGCAGACAGCTGGTCATTTGCATCCTTTTTAGAGAGACGTTGAGGCCACCCAGAGGTTTATCTGTGTTCTCAAAGTCACCTGAGTGGTGCAAATGGGAGCACAGCTTTCTTGGAAGCGCTGAAAGGACTGTGTTGTTGAGAAGTCGGAGCTGTGCTTTCTGCAGGATTTTTCTGCCGTGTGTCATCCCCACATTGTCAAACATAGGCGCAGCCCCCCTGGGACGAGACCATGCTGTCTACATCCCAAACTGAAATGCAAATCATTCCTGCCATCTGCAACTTCTCTGGAAATCTGCCCATGTCTTCAATGAAAAACAAGGTAGTCCAATTGCCTCATGAAAAACCACCATTGGGAGACGTTCCGAAAGTTTTCTTGAGGAAAAATGGGGGTACTGTGAGGAATTCTCACAGGAGGATTTATATTCTGTGAGGTCATCTGATCGCTGCCTGTGTTTTCCCAAAAATAAGTCCTACCCAGAAAATAAGCCCTAGCATGATTTTAGTGTGCACCTAATATAAGCCCTACACAAAAAATAAGCCCTATTTAAGAGTCCACCCACTCGGTCCCCCCATCTGTTTTGTTTACCCACGGCCCCTTTGCGCCCCTGCCCCATGCCTCCACTGATCAGTGGCAGTGCCGCAGCAATTTGCCACCCTGAGCAGATTCAGTGCATCTTCCTGAAACCATTTGCAGATAAATCAGTCCCTCTTTGAGTTGGCATTTTTGTGCAGCAGTGGACAAAGCCTTGGAGCTTCTGGTGGGTTTTTTGCCTCTTTCCTGCTGCAGGAGTAAAGCAAGCAAGCCAGAGGTGGTTATTCAGCAGGTTCTGACCAGTTCTGGAGAACCGGTAGTGGAAATTTTGAGTAGTTCGGAGAACCGGCAAATCCCGCCTCTGACTAGAGATTTTACAGTATCCTTCCCCTGCTACGCTCACTGAGCCACACCCACAGAAGCGGTAGTAAAAAAAATTGAATCCCACCACTGAGGCAACCGTGGACAGGCAAAGGTAAAAGAGCACTGGAGGATGACATAGGACAGCAGGGGTGGAGTATGGAGGGGATGCAGCATTGTGCCACCCCTGCCACACCTCCTGCCTTGCGTTGCCTTGTAATGGTGGCACCCTCCTGCTGGACGCACTGTGCATCTGCCTGCGTGAAAAAAATCAAGACAGCCCCCCAAAATAAGCCCTAGTGATTATTTTGGTATCCGAAAGAAAATAAGGCCGGGTGTTATCTTAAGGGAAACATGATAGTACCCCCTCCGAGAGTCACTGAAGCCACTTGGAGGTTTATTGGGATGATCTCAGAGTTACCTTAATAGTGCAAATGGAGAAGCAACAATCTTCTTGGAATGTTCCACGTTCCTTCAGACAAACAAAGCCAGATTAACTTAGCAATCCTCTTACTAACTTAACAACTGCAGTGTTTCATTTAACAACGATGACAAGAAAGATCGTCAAGTGGAATGAAGCTCGCTGCCCAGCTTAGTGAAATAAATGTTGGGCACAGTAGTAGTCGTAAGTCAAGGACTATCTGTACTGTGTTTGGGCATTTTTTGGATCATTGTTTTAAAAACAACAATATTCTTCCTTTTCCCAACCCATCCTTCGAGCGACGCCAATGGGAAAATAGTTCAATGCCGTGTTTGTTCCTTTCCAGCACACAAAGATGCAGCATCGCTTCACCACTGATCTCCACTTTTGGATCGGGCGCAATGCCAGCCAGGACGAGCAAGGAGCTGCCGCTTTCTATGTCACCCAGATAGATGATTCCCTGCAAGGGACAGCCATTCAGCATCGAGAGGTTCAAGGGCACGAATCCGCTGCTTTCAAAAGTTATTTCAAGAAAGGCATCATGTGAGTGTTAGGAAAACGTGCCTATGCAGGGGTCTCCAACCTTAAGACGTGTGGACTTCAACTCCCAGAATTCCTCAGCCAGCATTGTTCTGTCTTTTATAATGACTGGTTGAATATAAAGACAGACAGACAGCTCTACAAAGGCTTCCATACAAAGTTTCTTTATTGGTTCACCAGGCATCCTCAACTATAACTCACGGTTATGTCGAGATCCATCTAATGTCCAATTCTTTGCATAGCTGACTTCATAGTGTAAAGGAATAGTGATCTTTCATCCCGTAATGAAGGAGCAAGGGGGTGAAGCACCAGAACCCTGCTGGGGTCAAGGCAAGAGTGAAGGACCGCCCCCAACCCAACCAAGGGTCAATTCAGTGACCAATCAGGATTACAGATGTGGCCACATGACATGAACTACATTTCCCAGGATGCATTAACTACATTTACCATGAGGCATACCCTTAAGGGGGCAGCTCCCAATTCTAACTTACTATCCCACTTCCCAATTAACTATATACTGTCTGGACAGCACAAGCATAGCTCAATTCTGGGAGTTGACGTCCACAAGTCTTAAAGTTGCCAAGTTTGGAGACTTCTGGTCTAATGCAATGAACAAAACACTCTAACAATCTCCTGTTCCCTTTTTTTTATTTTAGTTTCCTTCACTTGTTCAACAATACTCTCATTTAGGTAGTTCTTGACTTATGACCGATTGTTTAGCGACTGTTAGAAGTTACGACAGATCTTCCCTTGGGGGTGGGTGAATTTGTACTTGCAACTGACCCAGTTGTAAAGTTTCCACAACTGCCTGGGGTCACATTTCAGGTACTTAGCAAAAGTACCACAAAAATAGCCGTTTGCATCATCCTATAATCACACCAATCGTTTTGTTTTTTTTGGTTTTTTGTTTTGCTGAAAACCAGTATTTACTTCTAGTTTTCAGTGAAGAAAGAGAAAAAGTAAGTCTTAATGACCACTGCAAAGAAAAAAAGATGGTAAAATCAGTTTGGTCCCCGTTTTGTGACCATGGCAACTTACAAGAGTAATCAGGAAGTTCCGTGATGGTGGTAAGTCGAGGATTACCTGTAACAATGAGGTCTAGTAACATATTCTTTTTTAAAAAAGAAATATATATATATATTTTAAAGTGAGCTTCCTGCAAGGAAAAGAAAAGGCATATGATTTAGAACCCTGACAGTAAGATTCTAACTAGTTGTGTGACCCTTTAGAGTAGCTGTTACTTCTCTAAAACTATCCCCTTTGGTGATTAAATATGAAGTCTTGTTTTCAACAGCTACAAGAAGGGAGGATTGGCTTCAGGGTTCAAGCATGTTGAGACCAACATGTATAACATCAAACGGCTCCTTCATGTTAAGGGCAAGAAACATGTGTCAGCTACAGAGGTAAGGACAGCCCCTCCCCTGATATATATATTTAATATCTTTGCATTCTCAAAAACTAAACTTAAGTAAATGCAACTGTCCAGACCAGGAGATTAACTCAGAAAAGCTAAAACTATTTTTTTTTTCAAGGCCATTAACAGATTAACAGAGTTGGAAGGGACCTTGGAGGTCTTCTAGTCCAACCCCCTGCTCAGGCAGGAAACCCTACATATCATTTCAGACAAATGGCTGCCCAATCTCTTCTTTAAAAACTTCCAAGGTTGGAGCACCCAAAACTTTTAGAGGCAAGTTATGTAATTCAGGAAGTCCTCAACTTACAACCATAACTGGGAGCAGAACTTCTGTTGCCGAGCAACAAGGTTGTCAAGGGAGTCATGCCCAATTTTGCAACCTTTTTCTGCCACCGTTGTTAAGTGAATCACACTGTTACTAAATGAATTGAGCTTGCTTGTCGGAAGCTGTCTGGAAAGGACACAAATGGTGATCCCAGGATCCCAGGTTGGAAATTTATTGCCAGTTGCCACCTGTCTGAACTTCGATCATGTGCTCATGCAGTGAATGTCATAAATGTGAGGACCAGTCGCAAGTCACTTTTTTCAGGGTTATTATAACTTTGAAGGGTTGTTAAATATATGGTTCTAACTGAGAGCGACTGTTAACAGACTCTTTCAAGTCTGATTGTGTTTTGACCTAGGCTTCCTTAGAAAGCATAAAACACAATCTTAGTTTCAGCAAAACCTCTTTTATTTGTACGGCTGTGAATTATGTTCATTCCCAGCCTGCAAGGCTTCACAAAACAGTCTTTCAGGGGAATGTTTATAGACACCCCCTTATTGCACTTGGAATGCTGCCAGAGAACTAATTGGCAAATGCAGGGCAAGGCCAAACTTGACACAGAGTCGATCAGAACTTTTCAAAGCCTGAATTGACCAGATGAATTAATTGCTTCCTGCAAAAGCTCACATCCTATTCGCTCCTCTTTTATGTCCTATGGGGGGGGCAATCATCTGCAAGGCGTGGCCTTACTCCTGAGTCCGGCCCTGCTTTCTCAATTGTTCTTGTCTTCTGGTAACCCCACGCATGTGCAGGATAGGAACCGGTTCCAAAAACTCCCCTGTCTCACTGCTGTCTGAGTCTGAAGGCAGCTGATAGCCAGATTGCCAGCCTGCCCTGGCCCCATCTCTGCCTCTGATGCAGAGCCCTCATCCGAGCCTTCCTCGGCCTCCAAAACTGGTCCAGGTTCTTTCCCAGCCTCTTCACCGCTGTCCGACTCTGCTACCAGCTCCGTTAGCTACCGGTGGGCCCAAACAGATTGCACTCTATTGCCTCCTCCCCTTGCTATACTCATGTGAAATAGGAGGGTACAGTTAGTCCTCAACTTACAACAGTTCATTTAGTGATCATTCAAAGTTCCAACAGCAGTGAAAAAAATGACTTTTCCCACCTAAGTACCATTACAGCATCCCCAGGGTCACCTGATCAAAAGTCAGACATTTGGCAACTGACTCACACTTACAACGGTTGCTGCATGATCCCCTTTTGCCACCTTCTGACAAGTGAAGTCAGTGAGGAACCCAGATTCACATAACAACCGTGGCAAGAAAAATTGTAAAATCGGGCAAAATTCACTTAGCAAATGTCTCCCTTAGCAACAGAATTTTTGGGCTCAATTGTACTATCTGTACTACCTGTACACTGCTACATTCAGAAGAACTTTTGGTGGTTCAGAGATATTACAGAAATACCATCATAAATGCAATAAATTCCAATCAGAAGTGGCTTCCAATTATGTGAGCCCTGTAAAAAGAAGCAAAATAAAAAATAATGACTTTTTGCAGAAGATGTTAAGTCAGTGCTGCAACTGTTAAGCAAATCTATCATGGTTGTTGTCTTATTTTTTGGCCAGGCACCAGAAATAACACTATAAACCAGAAAACAGTCACCAATTGCAGTCATGTGACCACAGGATACTGCAAATGGCAGTAAAATTGAGCCTGTTGCCAAGCAACCAAAATACGATCACATGACTGCAGGAGTGTTTGACCGTTATAATTTACCACACAGTTCATTTAGTGTCCATCCGAAGTTACAACGGCACTGAAAACAAAAGTTTTTCACACTTACAACAGTTCCAGCATCCCTACAGTCACATGATCACAATTCAGATCCTTGGGAACTGACTCACATTTATGACACTTGCAGAGTCCTGGGACAATGTGATCCCCTTTTGCGACCTTTTGACGAGCAAAATCAATGGGGAAGCCAGATTCACTTAACAACCTGGTTACTAATTTGAAAATTGTAATGATTCACTTAACACCTTGTGGCAAGGAAAGTCGTAAAATAGGGCAAGCCGCATTTAAGAAATGTCTCCTAAATTTGGGGCTCAGTTGTGGTCATAAATCGAGGATTGTACTGTACCTGTGCTCTGAATGAATTGTTTTGAGGTCGATATTTCTCTGTTATCTCCAAACAGGTTGACCTTTCTTGGGACAATTTCAACAAAGGTGACGTCTTCCTGTTGGATCTTGGCAAAGTGCTGATCCAGTGGAACGGACCTTCCTGCAACATTGCTGAAAAATCGAAGGTCAGCCATGGAAAATAATATCTTGACGCAGTTTTGGAGATGCAAAACACTAACCCGGGTTATAAGAACATAAGCAGGAATCTAGTCTGCTAGATCCAGGGGTGGGATTCTACTGCTTCAGACCGGTTCGGGCGAACTGCTTGCTTCGAAGATCAGCTGTCTCCAAACCAGTTGAAAATATGTGGGCCCATCTGCCCATCCCTGCTGTTTCCTGTCCTTTAGTTCCTGTGTTTACAGCACAGCTGATTCGCGCAGCGACTGTTTTCTTCACAGGGACTGCTGTAGAACAGAGGCGGTATTCTACCAGTTTGGCGTACCAGTAATGTCAAAGATCAGCTGGCAGAGAACGCGTTCACTCTGACTCTCTCCAACGCTATGCAGTTGGGCCTATCTCCCCACCCCTGCTCCTAGGTCCTCTTTAACCTCCCAGTTCTTTGGCACGGCAGAGCAGATTGCTAAACTGCTGAGGGGTGTAGTAGCTTAGTTTTTACAATATTAACGCAGGTGCAAAGCACGTGTTTGTTGCGCGTGTGATGCACACAAGTCGTAAAACCCGTCCGCGGCCATTCCCACCAAGCTACACCCACAAAACCAGTGGTGGGAACTTTTGAATCCCACCGCTGCTGTAGAAGGTAAAGTATTAGAGCTGTTTGAAATTGCAGAGTGCGCGCGAAGCACGTGACCCCCAAACCGGTTGTTATACTGGTGGAATCTCACCCCTGGCTCGATCTAGTCCAGCCAGTTCTTGTTATGATGGACACCCACCTGTCCGTGAAAGCCCCCAGGTCTCCCAGAAGATGAGATTCACTCTACCATCAAGGTTAAGAACCATGAATTATGTCCTCAGGACCTAGCGAACAAGGGGTTTGCTTAACAGCCACGGCATTTACACTTATCGGTGCCATGTTAACAGCCACCATAAAAAAATGTAATAAAATCAGGTTGGTCAGGTTTTTAAAACTGTTACAGTTATAAAGCAAGGCTCCACTACGGTCATAATTGGAGGACTACCTTTACATTACATGGAGCCACTGTGTGAGTTGGGTGGCTGTACGGTTAATCCTTCGACTTATCCCCATTCATTTAGTAGCTGTTCATTTTTAGTGTCAGCATTGGGGGAAAAATGACTTATGACCATGTTTACAGTTCCAACCGTTGTAGGATCCTCATGATTACATGATTAAAATCCAGACATATTTATGATGGCTGCACTGTCCCTGCAAATTTCTGTTGCTAAGTAAGACTGTTGTTAAGTGGGTTTTTGCTCCATTTTATGACCTTTCTTGCCACAGTTGAGGGAATCACTGCGGTTGTTAGTAACCTGCAGTAGCTATTAAATGACTCTGACTTCCGCATTGACTTTGTCAAAAGGTCGCAAAGGATGATCACACAACCCAGGGACACTGCAACCGTCATAAATACGAATCAGTTGCTCTAGCACCTGAAGTTTGACCACATGATTATGAGGATGCTGGAACAGTCATAACCCTGAAAAACAATAATAAGTTCCTTTTTTCCAGGGCTGTTTTAACTTCAAGCAGCCATTAAAGAAATAGTTGCAATCAAGGTCTACCTGTAATCATGGTGGATGGTTTGGGGTTTGCATTGTTTGGTCTTATTATTCCCGTTGACCAGGGAATGATCTTGGCACGAAGCATCCGGGATGGCGAGAGAGGTGGACGTGCCCAAATTGCCGTAATCGACAACGAGAAAGACTGCCCAGAGCTCATGCAGATCATGAAGGCGACGCTGGGGGAGAGGAATCAAGAGATTAGAGAGCCATTACCAGATGAAAAAGCGGATGAACATCAAAAAGCCAATGTCCGCCTTTACCAGTAAGTTCCCGTTGTTCACAAACTTGGAGAGATTTTTAAATCCAGCATTTGAGAGGCTACCACAAAGAAGAGAGAGAGGGTAAACTTATTAGTGAAGAGAAGAAACAATGGGCGAGAAGCAAGCCAGAATTTAAGGAGAAATTTCTTAACAGTGAGGACTATTAAACAGTGGAGCGACTGGCCTCCAGAAGTTGTGGCTGCTCTATTATCCGAGGCTGTTAAGAAAAGACTGGACGGCCATTTTTCTTAAATTGTACAGCGCAGGGGCGTCAAACTAGATTGAGGGCTGGATCAGAGTTGTAATTCTCCTCCGTGGGCCGGCGGCGGGGTAAGGATGGGGAATGAGAGCGGAGATGGCAAGGACACCTCCTGCAGCACCTGCTGGCCAAAATGAGGTGCAGGGCCTCACATTTGGGGGGGGGGGGGGGAGACAGGGGTGGGAGTCTACCGGTTTGGACTGGTTCAGGCGAACTGGTAGTTCCGGTGGGCATTTCCTGTGCTTTATTTCCTTGATTTTTAGCACAGCTGATTCACGCGGCAGACCAGTTTGCTGCACCGCAGCTGTTTCAGTCCCAGGGGCTACAGTAGGAGATAAGTAATTGGGTTGAAAATGTGCTTTTTAAACTGTAGAGCACATGTGCGAAGTGCGCGTTTCGCGCGCGCTCAATGAACTGGTTGTTACACCGGTTGAATCGCACCACTGAGAGTGCTGTTGGAGGCCATGGACGCCGAAACCGGGCTGCGTGGGGGCCTCGCGAGGCCTCCACATGGCTGTTTTTGTCTGGCAGAGTGCTGCAGGAAGTGGTGGAGGCTGAAAACAGGCTGCAGGAGGGTTGCACACGGGGCCCATGTGGCCTGTTTTGGCCAGCAGAGGCACCGCAGGCTGGTCCTTTGATGTTTCCAGGCCGGCCCCGTGGACCAGATTTAAGCATCCCCTGGGCCGGATCTGGCTCATGGGCCTTGAGTTTGACACCCTGTATAGGGTCTTCTGCCTGAGCAAAGTGGTTGGACTAGAAGACCTCCAAGGTCCCTTCCAGCTCTATTCTGCTTGATTGACGGCAAAAGCTTGTGGTGAAGTAGAAATATATGCAGAAAAAGTATTTTTTTAAAAAAAACAACAACAACCAATAGTTAAATATTTGCATTATTACCTACTAATGTTTCTACCTACAGTGTGTACGAAAATGGCAAAGATCTTGTGGTCCAAGAAATTGCAACCAGGCCCCTCACTCAAGACCTCCTGAGTCATGAGGTAAGATATGCGAGTGCTGAGCTGATATTGTTTGGTTTTGCTGTCCCCACAAAAGGGACATGATCTCAGTGTAAAATACATCAATTCCGATCTAGGAGTCTTTGGTTGAAATCCTGTGTTATTTTTCTTCCCTTCCCTTCCCTTCCTTCTCTTTTCCCTTCTCCTTCTCCTTGTCTATTTTGTTCTTCTTCTCCTTCTCCTCTTTCTCTTTCTTGTCTATCTTCTCCTCTTCCTCCTCATTTATCTT